GTATCTGTGCAGTTTGATGGACTCTTCTATAATTAACCATTGTCAAGAACACTTCTGAAAATGCCGGCTGGCATTTCAAATAGGAACATCAGATTAAAGAGAAGAGAGGTAATGAGGTGCAAGGAGAAAATCCTTCCCTGGGGAACAAATCAAACCTGATATCATCATGAAGGGTAATGAGAAATGCACTACCGAACTGAGGAGATTCACCCCAGCTGCCTAGAGGAAGCGAAACCATATATTCCTATTTAAAACACCAGAGAGGAGATGCTAACGTTTTGGTCTGCTGGTTAAGTCAGGGGACGTGCAGCTTGCACACCTGCCTTTTGCATGTAGTTTTGCCACACGTGTCCTGAGTCCTCGGGCAAGTCATTTCACTTCTCTGTGAGATAAGGTATGTTACATAGATGCATGCAAGTCAGTGCAGACAGAGCGTGCCTGTACACCCACATGGCAGGTTCTGAAGCTACGACTGTATCTACACTGTTAAATAACACGGGGCTAAGTGGCAGGCTAGTCCTGTCTACACTACACAGAACTTGGCCTGTCTCTTCTTTTTTGGTCTCACATGATGCCTCTGTGGCCCTAAGGCAATACTGATTTCTTATCTTTTCCCCATTTCGTAGTACCTTTAATAATATGAAGCCTCATGGCAGACCATCACAGCAGTATTTTTGCAGCATCAGTCTGAGGATTTGTGTTGCATATTCTGGCATGTGGCAGGAAAGCCTATGTCTGTGTCTGGAGGAGCAAACCCGGTTGTGTTGGTGTAGGAGGACTGCCCAGGGTGGAAGGAGCCAGACCTGTACTTTTTCTGTTCTTGCTTCCCATGGGAATCCTGTCCCCTGGAGCAGGCGTGGGTGTCACTTGGACTGGCAGTGCCAGGCAGAGTGCTGATGATTAAACAGTATTGACCACCTGTGATCCTGTAAATCAATTTGTTTTCTGGCCCTGCTCTGTTCAGCAGTATAAATGAAACCTGTGTCGCCATGTCAGCATGGCTGTATGCCCACATTGATAGATGAGTCAGGGTATATTATTTCACGCATGGTGCTACACAGTTGAAGGAGCTGTGGCTGCAAGAGCTCATGTCATAGATACAGCAAGTGTTAGGTGGCTGTCATCGTAAGTGCCAACCTTACTGGGATACCCAGTAGCTTAATTAAAGTTTATATTGATATTCTCTACATAGAAGCCCTGGGCTGGAGTTGCTCGAATGTTTGTAGCCTTTAGCGATTTGCAGACCACATGCAAGCATTCTGGGAGAAGCATGTTTTGCCCATAGCAAAAGCCCTCTCGACTGTGGGTGTGCTCTTCTTGGTTTTCCTTCCTGGGCTCCTGGACCCTTGGGGATCCAAGAGCCAACAGTTAATGACTACGGGCACATGGGGGACAGTGGACATCACAAGGGAAGGGATAGAAGTAGGTGGAGATCATGAGACTTCTCTCAGACTGTTTTACAAGGCACTGAAAACTGATGTGGTGTTTGATGCCCAAGTACCTGCTCCGTCTTCTCAGGAACGAGGATGCCATTTCACACAGCCGTCTGTGGGAGCATGGGGAGTGGGATGTGAGAATGGAGCAAGCCTGCAGGGAATCCTGAGAGGCAACTGATGGTCCTGCAAGGCTGGAAGGGCCTGAGAGCATGAGGGCCCTGTGCCAAGAGGGGTAAGATGTTCTTACCCTCACCTGCCATCCTGTTGATGTACTCTCATTGCTGATAGTAATCTTACGTGTCTGCAATCTTGGTCTCATCTGTGTCTGCAATCTTGGTCTCATCTGTATGTCACCTCTTTGTGACACACTCCGTGACAGATCTTCCCCCGCGCTGCCACAGGCACCACAAGAGGTTTTGTTGCTCCCCAAGTTATGTGGTGGGGAAGCGTTTTCGCCATGCAGCTCTGTGCCATTCATTCTAGATCCTGGGGTAGGATATGGGGCTAATGCTGTTTGAAATGTCCTCAGGCTCCTTGCAGGGTAGGCTGTCATTTTTCTGCCGAAAGCCTTGCTTGGCATTTTACTTAAATCTTGTGCGGTGTGAGTTGCATGGATATCAGACAGCATGTTGTGTGTCAGAGCAAAGGCATCGGTTTCGCAGTGCTCCAATGGAAGAAAAATATAAGGGTAACTATTACAGTATTTACAGCATTATTTTTCATATTGAGATTTGTACAAGCTTCTTTGAGTTATTCGCCATAAAAAAATCCATTATTATAGAGGAGCTGACTCATTAAAACAGTCTCTGTTTCTCCAGAGAACCCAGAAGAAAACACAATGCTTTAATACATCTAAATTCACTCGAGTGTGCCTGGCACTATCAGTTAAACTACACAGAAAATATCTTTCTTCCCTGCACTGTTCCTGCTCATTCCCTC